TTCTTTCAAAGTGCTAGTCTTGAGCACAAAAAGCTCAGGGACAGCGCCCAGGCTCCACCACCAAAAAAAAAAAACAAAAAAATCTGGGTTTGGTTGCTTATGCCTCTCATCTCATCTCAGCTACATAGAAAGCTTACGTAGAAGGAGAGTAGTTCAAAGCTAGCTCAGACAGAAAAGTCTGAGATTCTTATCTCCAACTCACGAGCAAAAATCTAGAAGTAGAGCTGTGGCTCAAAGGTCAGAGAGTGGCAGCCTTAAGCAAAAAGGCCAAGTGAGGGCACGAGGCCCTGAGCTCAAGACCTAGTGCCAGCACATACCAACAAACTGCCACCACCCCCACACAAAAGATGAACGTTGGGCTGGGAAGGTAAAGATGAACGTTGGGCTGGGAAGGTGGCTCAGTGGTAGAGTGCTTGCCTTGCTTGCATGAGGCCCTGGGTTCAATTCCTCAGCACCACATAAGCAGAAAAAGCTGGAAGTGATGCTGTGTTTCAAGTGGTAGAGCCCTAGCCTTGAGCTGAAGAGCTGAGGGACAGTGCCCAGGCCCAGAGTTCAGGCCGCGCGACTGGCCAAAAAACAAACAAACAAACAAACAAAAGATGAATGCTCTACAATGTGAATTTCATCTTAATAAAGCAGTTTTGCTTTTAAATTTGAAAACTGTATCCTCTGACATGGAAACATTTCTGTTTTGTTTGGCAGTGACTGGATGCCTAGGACTAAACTTCAGGGAGAGGGAAAATAACACACTATTTCCTTTTACTGGGAATCAGTTCTCCAAAATAACTTTAGGATTAGGTGAAAGCTTCACATGCGTCTTCCTGTTTTGCTGTTTGTTTTGTTGTTGTTGTTTTTCAGACAGGGTCTTGCTATATATAGCTCAGGCTGTCCTAGCTAACCTTGAATATGCAATCCTCCTACCTCAACTTCCCCAACATTGGGATTAAAGATGTGTGCCACTACATCTGGCTCCTACACACCTTTCATTTGAAGTAGCACTTCAATTTGTAAAGTCTTAAGAAAATAACCTTTTTAAAATCATTAATTTCTTTGAATACATAATGTGTAAAGAAGCCATTCCTTTTCCATAGTTAAAAAATGAAAATAAAGAAAGAAATAGATAACAGATCTAGGGTATAGAGTGATGAGTTGATCTCATTTCTAATTTTATGCTCCAAGCATCTAATTTCCATGACATGGGACGACAGATAAAAATGCTATCTGAGAGCTGGTGGCTCACATCTGCAATCCTAGCTGACACATATGAGGATCATGGTTTGAAGTCAGTCCAGGCAGGAAAGTCCATGAGACTTACCACCAAAAAGCCAGAAGTGGGAGCTGTGGCTCACATAGTAGGATGGGATAGTACCCACACCCTGACTTTAAGCCTAGTATGGAAACACACACAAACACATACAAAAAAATGCTATCTTAGGAAAACATGTGTTTATATGTGTGTACATTTTTGCATAATACAAAATGCTCTAAATACTTTATTGAACTCTATTTTTCTGCTTGGTTCTTTGTGTTTGTTGGTTTGCACACAGTCTTGCTATGTAGCCTAGGCTTGTCTTGAACTTGTGATGTAGCCCAGCCTCAAACTTACGTATTCTCATGCTTCTGAAATTACAAAAATATGCCAGCATTCCTGGCTTCTACTTCATATTCCTTGAAGCCCTTGTCATATTTGCTCTTACAGAGCTCCCTCACTTAGCAATTCCACAGCATTTAACTCTATGGATGTACTATAATTTGTAATCATCTACTATTTATAAGCTATTAGTAGTTTCTGGTTTGGTTACTTTTTTTTGGCCGGTCCTGGGGCTTGAACTCAGGGCCTGGGCACTGTCCCTAAGCTTCTTTTACACAAGGTTAGCACTCTACCATTTGAGCCACAGTGCCACTTCTAGCTTTTTCTTAGTACTTTATTAGAGATAAGAGTCTCATGATCCGGGAGCTGGTGGCTCACACCTGTAATCCTAGCTACTCAAGAGGCTGAGATCTGAGGATCACAGTTCAAAGCCAGTCTGGGCAGGAAAGTCCATGAAACTCTTATATCCAATTAACCACCAGAAAACTGGAAGTGGTGCTGTGGCTCAAGTGGTAGAGCACTTGCCTTGAGCTGAAGAGCTCAGGGACAGCACCCAGGCCCAGAGTTCAAGCCCCACCACCGACAAAAAAAAAAAAGTCTCATGGACTTTTCTGCCCAGGTTGGCTTTGAATGAACCAGGATCTTCAAGTCTCAATCTCCTTTATAGCTAGGATTACAGGTATGATTTGCCAGCACTCAGCTGTTACTGCTGTTTTATTGCTATTATAATCATTGTTTTCTATGAATTGCTTTTATTTTGTAATTTCACAACTATACCAAGGGAAAAATATCTTAAAACTGGAAAGATGACAATATATTTATTTTACATTTTGATAGTGCCAACTGCCTTCCAAAAACATTCAACTTTTTCTTCCATCAGAAAAAGAAATCTGAGGGCTGGGAAGGTGGCTCAGTGGTAGAGCACTTGCCTTGCATGCTCGAGGCCCTGGGTTCGATTCCTCAGCACCACATAAGCAAAAAGAAAAAAGCCGGAAGTGGTGCTGTGGCTCAAGTGGTAGAGTGCTAGCCTTGTGCTGAAGAGCTGAGGGACAGCACCCAGGCCCAGAGTTCAGGCCCCACGATCGGACAAAAAAAAAAAAAAGAAAAGAAAAAGAAATCTGAGCCAGGCTTTGGTGGCTCACGTCTGCAATCCTAGCTACTCAGGAGGCTGAGATCTAAGGATCGCGCTTCAAAGCCAGCCCCCACAGGAAAGTCCCTGAGACTCTTGTCTCCAATAAACCACTTGAAAACCAGAAGTGGCACTGTGGCTCAAGCGATAGAGCACTCACGTTGAGCTGAAGAGTGCAGGGAGCCCAGAGTTCATGCCCCACAACCAACAAAAAGAAAAAGAAAAAGAAATCAGAGCTGGGCGAGTGCTAGCCTACGGTACAAAGAGACTCACAAACAGTGTCCAGGCCCTGAATTCAAGCTCCAGGACGGAGGGGGGAGAAAGGAATTTGAAGCTGGGCACTGGTGCCTCAAGCCTATAATCCTAGCTACTCAGGAGGCTGAGATAAGAAGATCGTGGTTCAAAGCCAGCACAGGCAGGAAAGTCTGTGAGACTTTTATCTCCAACTAACCTCCAGAAAACCAGAAGCCATTTTTTTTCAACTTTTATAAGTCTCCTGATTTTTTGTTTAATATTGGTTTACTAAATACATATACAGCATTTTTAGGATAAAGTTTTGCTAACTATATAGAAAAGTATTTTTAGAATAAAGGGGTTTCTTGGTGCTGGTCCTGGGGCTTGAACTCAGGGCCTGGGTGCTGTCCTTGAGCTTTTATTTTGCTTAAGGTTAACCCTCTACCACTTTGAGCCACAGCTCCACTTCCAGCATTTTTGGTGGTTAACAGGAGATAGGAGTCTCAGGGACTTTCCTGATCAGGCTAGCTTAGGATAAAGTTTAAATAAGAACTAGGCTCACCCCTGTACTCCTAGCTAATCAGGAGGCTAAGATCTGAAGGTCATGGTTTAAAGCCAACCTAGGCAGAAAAGTCTTTGAAACTCTTATCTCCAAGTAACCACCAAAAAGCCAAGAGATGGAGATGTGGTTCTAGTGGTAGAGTGCCAGCCTTGAGCAAAAAAGCTTAGGAACAATGCGCAGGCCCTGAGTTCAAACCCCAGGAATGGCACGCATGCACACATACATGTGTGCACGCGCATGCACGCACACACACATTCAAACAAGAGCTTCTCAAATGCAAACACATGAAGACAATGAGCTATTATCCATTCCATCAAAATTCAACAGAATACTCATTCAAATGAATGATAAAAATTCCCCCAATAGACTAAAAGTGAGAGATTACTTAGAACAGGTCCTTGTCAAAGTTGTCCAGCTTCATACTAACCATTCCCTCAGGATTTTTTCCAATAAAATATGAAATACAAGCTGGCAACTGGTGGCTCATGCCTTTCATCGTAACTATTGAGAGCTGAACACACTAAAGTTTAAAACCAGCTCCAGCCGGAAAGTCCATGAGATACTTATCTAAAATTGACTACCAGGGCTGGGAAGGTGGCTCAATGGTAGAGTGCTTGCCTTGCATGCATGAGGCCCTGGGTTCCATTCCTCAGCACCACATAAGCAAAAAGAAAAAAGCCGGAAGTGGCACTGTGGCTCAAGTGGTAGAGCGCTAGCCTTGAGCTGAAGAGCTGAGGGACAGCGCCCAGGCCCAGAGTTCAGGCCCCATGACTGGACCCCCCAAAAAAAAAAAAAATAAATAAAATAAAATTGACTACCAAAGAGCCTGAAATAGAGCTTGGTTCAAAGTGCTTGAACCCTAGCCTTAGGCACAAAAACTCAGGAATAGCACCTAGGCCTTGAATTCAAGCCCCAGGATTGGCACCAAAAAAAAAAGTGAAATACTCAACTTGACACTTCTATATTATGGTCATTGTACTATTTAAAATTTCCTCTCCTTTAATTAGCTCATCACTAAACAACCTGTCATGCTTAATTTTTAAATGTCACTGATGCTGGCAGACATCATAAGTTTAATGACAGTTTCTATCAATCTCTCTCCTAAATACCATGAATAAAATAACATGTACATTATCACTTTACATAATTTACAGATAAAAGAACTAATATTAAAATTTTTAAGACTTTGGGGCTGGGAAGGTGGCTCAGTGGTAAAGTGCTGCCTTGCATGCATGAGGCCCTGGGTTCGATTCCTCAGCACCACATAAGCAAAAAGAAAAAAGCTGGAAGTGGTGCTGTGGCTTAAGTGGTAGAGTGCTAGCCTTGAGCTGAAGAGCTGAGGGACAGCGCCCAGGCCCAAAGTTCAGGCCCCATGACCGGACCCAAAAAAAAAAAAATTTTTTTCTTAAGACCTTTTCTCCCAAGAAAATAGTCATAGAGAAAATGTTGATCATTTTGTAATCAAGTGAGCAAAGTGAACTTACCATGTGTGGAGCGCTGATTGTTGCTTGGAAACCTGCAAAACAAGGAAAGAACTACTGACACACTCAGCTGCAAAAGCATAACAAATATTTATGTGCCCCTTTTCTAACTTCCATACATTGTTTCTCACAAAATAGTTTTTATGATCTCAAAAAAGTAAACGTTAGAGAACTGACACAGTAAAAATCAGAAAATATGACTGTGCCAAAGATGAATGTGCATATCTAGTAAAGCAGTTCCCTCTTTTTTTAATTAGCTAACATTAGTTGTAAAGGGTGGGGGGGGAGTCTACTGTGACATTTCCATACATGTTATAAAGGTATTCTAATCAACTTTGCTCTTCTTGTCACTCTCCTCCATCATATTTTCCTCTTTTTTTTTTTGGCCGGTCCTGGGGCTTGAACTCCCAGTCTAGGTGCTTTCCCTGAGCCTCTTTGTGCTCAAGACTAGTGCTATACCACTTGAGCCACAGTGCCATTTCACAGGCTTTTTTTGAGTAGTGTTACTGGAAATAAGAGTCTCAGAGACTTTCCTGTCAAGGCTGGCTTAGAACCACAATCTTCTAATCTCATCCTCCTGAGTAGCTAGAATTACAGGTGTGGGCCACTGGGCCCAGCACATTCTTCTTTTCTAAAAAAATAAAAAACAATTTTGACTGGTTTAATTGTCCTATTTTTATATGTGCAAACAAGCACATATAAATGCGGATCATGTTCATCCTCACTCACTTTCTTAGTCCTCCTCCACTTGTACTGGTGCCCTCCAACCCCTGTTCCCTATTTCTGAAAATGCCCCCTCTTGTACTGCTACCTAAGAAGATTTTTAATTTTCTTTTTAAAATTTTTCCAGACAGGTTTTCACTATGCTGCCCAGGCTAGCCTTGAATTCACAATCATCAGTCTCAGCCTCCCAAGAAGCTATTTATATAGGCTTTGTACCATGTATATTTGGGAAGGATTTCAATAATAAAAATTTGATTTTTTACTTATTTTTTCTTCAGTTTACCAAAACTAAATAAATTTCATGTATAATATGTAGGCAAGATTTTTGTATAAAGTTTTTTTTAATATTTCTGACAACTTAAAAAAAAAACTAGATAGCCAAACTAGCTGAAGAGATGAAAAACTAAAATGACCTTCTTCGCATTATCTAATGTTAACTCATGATATATTTTAATGGCCTTTAGCTTTTAGTTTCTTTTCTTCCAGGGTTACTTTCTCAAAACTTATTTACCTGCTTCTGCCTCTGAAGCAGTTTTCACTGAGCGGTGGTAGCAGGTGCCTTGGGGTTCAGAAGCTCCCCAGGATCTTCTTGCTGACTGTCACGGTGCTTCAAAAGAAGACAGCATGGCAGCTGGCCGACAGAATCCTGAGGCACTTCTAAGCCTCAAAGGCGCCCACTGCCAAGGCTCAGCCGTTCAGCAAAACCTGCTTCAGGAGGAGGAGTTAAATACGGAACTTTCTAAAAACAAATAAAAGCCAGAAAATCAGGACAAGTAAAGCAGAAAAGTCATATCAGTTATGCTGACTTCCTTTAAATAATGATTTTAAAAATCAATGCTAATGTGAAAAGGACACTCAACAAAAACTTGTTTTCATTTAATTAAAATAGCCTAACAATTCTTTATCATAATGCATATTCATAATATGCATTATTTGAAAACACAAAAAAAGATACATCATTGTATTAATATGGATATATTTGGGATTATGAAATTTACTGAGACATAAAATTCAAATTTGTAGGATAATAATGTGTGTCTCAGTATTTTCCTTTTATGTTTTATTTCCACATGTGCATGTATGTGTATGGGTGCAGACGCATGTATGTGCAGGTTGGTACTAGGACATGAACTCAGGGACTAGGTGCTATCCCTTAGCTTTTTTGCTCAAGGCTGGCATTCTACCAATTGAGCTACAGCAGCACTTCTGGCTTTTTGCTAGTTAATTGGAGATGAGAATCTTATAGACTTTCCTCCCTGGGCTGGCTTCAAACTGTGATTTTCAGATATCAGCCTTTTACTAAGTAGCCAGGATTACAAGTGTGAGCCACCAGCACCTGGCCTTTTTTTCTAATAAAAAAAATATATAGGGTAAATAAAGAAAAGTGTGACATTTTCCAGACTATAAAGCTTACCTATTGATTGTGGAGAATCCATATAAGGGTTACATTTTGCATAGTGGGAGCGGTCAGTGGCCAGCATCACTTCAAATACTTTCTCTGTCTTGATGATTCCATTTTCTGAAATGAATGAAGCAAGTATTTCAACCAAAGAATGACATCCAGTGTATTTTATAATTATTACTGTGGTTGCATTGTAGAGACTAGACTAGAAGAAAACATGATTGAAAGTCACTGCAGTGGTCTGGTTAGTAGTAACTTAGTCTTTAATGATGACAAGATGGAGAAATGTAAAAGGATATGTGACATTTAGTAGACAATATATACCTGGGTAATAGGATTTGGGAATGGCAGTGGGAGTAACAATTGCAATGCAGAGGTTACTCGAGGATTTGAGAAATTCTGGAGAAGGGAAACAGTTAAGGAGGTAAAGGATAAGTTATGGGTTTAATTAGTTACTATAGATCATACAAGAGAAGTACTCAGCAATCAGACACCTAGGTAAGAGCTCAGGAAAGAGATCTAGGTTAGAAATACAGGTTTTTATATAAATGTCAAGTGAAATAATATAAATTTACAGTAGCCAGGGAAGAATACACAGGGAAGAAAAAATAAAAACAACAATTAAGAGATGTACAAAAAAATTGAAGCCTTCAAAGCCACACTGGCAGGATAAAGACCTGTCAGACTCTTAAAGAGTCCAAGAGAAGTGCACTTTCAAAGAAGGAAAATAAGGCCAATAATGATACCATTTGGCTTCCCTACAATTGTTGGTTTGTTTTGTTCTTTTGCTTGAACTCCAGGCCTTGTGCTTTCAGCTTTCTTGCTCAGGGCTGGCACTCCACTACTTGAGCCATGCCTCCAGTCCAGTATTTTGCTGGCCAATTGGAGATGAGGTCTAGCAGACTTTTTTGCCCAGTCTGGCTCCAAACTGTAATCCTCCAGGTCTTAACTTCCTTGACCCAGTAGCACTCAACTTACAGTTAGTTCTTTAAATAAATGTAACCTAATAGCTTGGGCAGCAAAGTCCTCAAGACTCCACCTCCAATTAGAAAGAATGCCTGACTAGAGGCATGGCTTAAGTGATAGGACACCAGCAGTGTGCCAAAAAGTCAATTGAAAGTGTGAGGCCCTGAGTTCAAACCCCAGGACCAACAGAAGGAAGGAAACCAGATAAGGAGAACATGTACTGTGTGATATAACATAAAAAATTCTAGAAAAGCCAAAAGAATTGTGGGAAAGGGCTGGCAATCAGGATGGCAGTAGAAAGAAGAGATTAGCTTTCTACAGCAGAGAGTAACCTAGCTTTTGTAAAGGGCAAAAAGCAAACATTTTAGGCTTTGTGGGCCACATAGCTGCAGTTGCAACTACTCAACCCTGCTACTGTACTACCAGAATAGCTACAAATAATATAAAGCAAAGGGTTTCTATGTCTTAGTGATGAAATCCGGCAGCAGGCCAGATCTAACCTGTGAGCTTTTTGCTGCTTAGAGTGGTAGTTATACACTATGTATGCTTGTCAAACTTCTTAAACTGCATTTTCCAAATTAGTTAAATTTATGTAAATTAGAATAGTAAAGTTGTTTTGGTTTTGGTTTTTTTTTTGACAACTATACTCAGGGCTTCAATCATGCAAGGTAGGCATGTTACCACTGGATCCATGCTTCCAGCCCCTCCATTTTTAGTTGTTCTTGTTTGTCCGTCATGGGGTTTGAACTCAGGGCCTGGGTGCTGTCCTTGGGCTTTTTTTTTTTTGCTCAAGGTTAGTGCTCTACCACCTCAGCCATACCACCACTTCCCATTCCCTGGTGGTTAAAAGGACTTTTCTGCTTCGGCTGGCTTTTATCCATGCTCCTCAGATCTCAGCCTCCAGAATAGCTTAGATTACAGGCATTAGCCACTGGCACCCAGCCTATTATTTTTGAAGAAGGTCTTGCTTTATATCTGTGCCAGCCTGGGTTACGATACTCCTGCTTGTGCTTCTCCATGCCCCACTATGCCCAGCCATTGTGTTTACCCAGGACCATGCCACTACACCCAACCATTGAGGTGGAGTCTCAAACTTTTTTTTTTTTTGCTGCCAGTTGTGGGGCTTGAACTCAGGGCCTAAGTGCTGCCCTGAGCCTCTTTGTGTTCAAGGTTAGTGCTCTACCACTTGAGCCATAACACCACTTCCAACTTTTTCTGTAGTTTATTGGAGATAAGAGTCCCATGGACTTTTCTGCCTGGGCTGGCTTCAAACTGTGACAATCGGATCTCAGCCTCCTGAGCAGCTAAGATTACAGGCATGAGCCACTAGCGTCTGGCTTCTCAAAACTTTTATGCCTGGGCTAGCTAGCCTTCATTGAAGATTCCCCAACTTCTGTCTGCCCAAAAGCTAGGATTATAGTCTTGAGCCATTACACTTAACTCCTAAAGCTTATTTTTTTTTAAGTATAAGCCAAGGATCTTATTCCCAGCCAAGCTCTCTTTCAAATATCAAAGATACAGGGGAAAATAATGTTTGAATGTGCAAGAACTCAGAGAACACTGCATACATAAGTCCTTCTTGAGGTCGCATCTAGAGGGCAGGCTTTATGTAAACAAGAGATGAGCAGGACACAGAAAATAAAGATCCAGTTACAGAGCAAATATTTAATATGAGTAGAAAAATGCAACTAGAAACAACAGGAAAAAGAAAAAGGGCAGAATGTAGAAGGAGATTGGTAGCTTTTGTAGAGGTAATAGGAGGAATCAAAGGGTAGTATTTAATACTGATAGACCACACTGTAAAAGTCAAGAATAAGGTGAATTTGGAACACTAGAAAAGGTAAAAATAAACCTCTCAACAACAACAACAAAAGGATTTAAAATAGTCATAGACTAGCAAAGATAAACTTACATGCTCTTTTAATTTTAAAATATAATTTTGGATAAATTAACCCAAATAGAAAATTATATCTACACATGGAAACTTTGATTATTTAAGCAGTTATTAAAACTAAACAGTAGATATATTTTTTGAAGTTTAAAAGCAGAGAAACAACAATAGAGATAACATTTACTTAGTATGTAGTCCTAAGCACTCTACACAAACAATCTGTTAGGATATAAACTAAAAATAGTCTTAAGTTGTCTCTACCCAGCCTAAAAAGCAGGCACTATTATTTTACTTTACAGATTACAAAGCTGAAGTTACACACCAGTGGATTTAGTAGTTCAAGATCACAGAATAAAGGCTAGAGACACTTAAACTGAGAGACACTTAAACTGACACTTAAACTCACTCCTAACCATTTTACTACTATTACTAACATTTTCAAATGGCTTACTGAACTCTATTAATTTGTTTCCCAAAATAATTTTTTGAGTGGTTCATTTGCCCTGACACCAATTCAAATTCCACAGGGCTGACTCACATGCTCTCAAGGCCACAAGAGGCCTTAGAACCCATCAAGTCATAACTTCTTCATAAATTGGTACTATGCGCTCTACTGAAAGAGTTGCACTAATATGGTTCATTTTAGCTCCAAAAACAGTCCTTTCCATATTCAGACCCTGGAGATTAGTGAAAACATCCCTGTGTTAAAATAAAATGAATCTCTTTTTTGTTGTTGTTGTTAAAAAAGAGTCTCACACAAATGCTGGAAGGGATGTGGAGAAAGAGGAACCCTATTACACTGCTGGTGGGAATGTACACTTATACAACCACTGTGGAAAGCAGTCTGGAGGGTCCTCAGAAAGCTAAATATTGACCTCCCTTAGGACCCAGTCATACCACTTCTAGGCATCTATCCTGAACAACAGGAACCAGTATACAAGGACACGTGCACCTCCATGTTTATTGCAGCAATGTTCACAATAGCCAGGATAAGGAAACAACCCAGATGTCCCACCACAGATGAATGGATCCAAAAATTGTGGTATCTATACACAATGGAATATTATGCAGCCATGAGAAAGGACAAAATAATGGCATTTGCAGGGAAATGGATGGAGCTAGAAGAAATCATGTTGAGCGAGGTAAGCCAAGTACAAAGAGACAAACAGCACATGGTCTCCCTGATAAGTGGATGTTAAATTCAAAATGTTAGGTGATATGACAAAATTAACAAGACTTAAGAAACAAAGGACTTCCACTCATCTGGGTCAAATCACTACTAAATAACCCCATGCTGCTGATCACATGTATGGTATATATGTGTACACCAGACGGAAACCAGGAGGATGACACAGAACTAGAGGGAATCAGGGGAAAACATACACCAGCGGGACCCATCAGCTGCACTGGACATTGACCAAAATGAACTAAGCAAGTCAATGGCAGCGATGGGAGGGAGGGGACAAGTGGGAAAGGGGGAACAGCTGATCTATGCAAAATGAAAGAAATGTACATACCACCCAATGTGGAAGAAGTAACTTTATCGCAAAGCCCATAGAACTCATAAATGTTATAGACTATGATAAACAATTTGCCCCATGAAGGTTACAATGTGTTTGTGACTTTAACTAAGCATCACTATCCCACAATACTGTGAAATTTGGGAAATTATGTAAGCACTTAATCACAATAAAAAATTTGAAAAAAAGAAAAAAAATGAGTCTCACAGACTTTCCTGGCGGGGCTGGCTTTGAACCCCAGTCCTCAGATCTCAGCCTCCTGGGTAGCTAGGATTACAGGTGTGAGCCACTGGCACCCCACCTTTTTTTTTTTTTTTTTTTTTTTACTATCTATTCACTTGGTACTTAAATGTTGCTCCTTAGAGCCTTTGGGGGGGGGGGGGGAAGGTGAATTATCCAACCCATCCTTTTTTGTTTGGGTTTGTTTTGTCAGCTGGTCATGGGGCTTGAACTTAGGGCCTGGGTGCTGTCCCTCAGCTGTTCAGTTCAAGGCAAGCACCCTACCACTAGAGCCACAGTGCCACTTCTGGTTTTCTGAGTTAACTGGAAATAAGAGTCTCATGGACTTTCCTGCTTGAGCTGGCTTTGAACCATGATCCTCAGATCTCAGCCTACTGAGTAGCTAGGATTACAGGCGTGAGCCACCATCGCCCCAGTATCTTTTTTGATACTGGGGATGAAGCCAGCACTTGCCTAGCAAGCGTTTTGCCACTGAGCTATATCCCAGCCCAATCTTTTTT